TGACCATTAAAGGTGAGTGGGTTCGACCATTTGTCCAGAGACATCAGCCATGACACTCATAGCCCTACACCACTCTACTCTACCTGGTTGCGTTTCCATTATGCTTTAGTACCCTATTTTAGCTAGATATCTGCAACAAACCAGTATCCAGAGTAAATTCCTTGGTAACCACGGCTTCCAGCAGCACTCTGGCCAATCACTGTCAGTAGGAACAGTTAGAATGGCCAAGAGGGACTAAAGAAGGACCTGCTACTGGGGATAGTAGTGAAGAGAATTGTAGAGTAGATTAGAGTAGAGTAGAGAAGAGTTGAGTAGAGTATGAGGAGGGCTAGAGAGTAACTTTAAATACATAAACACGGTTACTTGTGTGTGTCTCCTCCACACTGAGAGCCTTGTTGTTGACCGAGAAACAGCAAAGTTTATGTTGGCGGCTAGTTGTGTGTTTTGCTGCTGATGTGAGTGTGTGTGTGTTTGTGTGTCTGTGCGTGTATTTGTGTGTGTGCGCATGTGTGTAGTTCCGATAAAGAGTCATTGTCTGCAGCTGGTGCATCCCCCACTCATCCCCTGTGCAGCTGTGAGGAAATCAAACGCTCCTCTCTTCCTCTCTCTCTCTCTCACCACTGTCTCCACTCGGGCCGCATTAGGTCATCCAAAATGGCCACTTGCGAAACTCGACTTGAAATGTATTAATGATGCAGGTTTGTTATACATTGCAGCTGCACAAGTGACAGAATCAGCAGAATTCATCTCACCTCCTCCTGCTTCAGGCCACATCCTCTTCACAGTATTTTCTCATACCGGCCGAATCTCGCACACAGCACACACAAACACAGGAATTGCAATAATAACAAACACATAGCAGCAATTGGTCCATATTGAACTGGAAATATTAATACATTTGTAGAAATGTCCCGGATCATCACTGTCCTTAAACCCTCCTGCATCGGCGAGAAACTCTGTAGATCCAGGACTGAGGCTGTAGATCCAAGACAGAAGAAGCTCCCAGGTAGGGAAGAAAGACTTAGTCCTAACAACCTAGGCATAACAAACCAGTATATATGGAAATTCCTTGGTAACCATGGCTTCCAACAGCACTCTGTCAATCTCTGTCAGTTAGAACACTTTAGTACCAGCTAGGCCTTGATAGTCTGGTTCCCTAGGGAATAGAGTAGAGTAGAGTAGAGTAGAGTAGAGTAGAGTAGAGTAGAGTAGAGTAGAGTAGAGTAGAGTAGAGTGTCATGGGCATGTTACATATTAATGACCTTGTAGGTGACCTTGGAGAGAAGAGGTCCCAAGACCCTGTGTTACCCCAGAGGTCTGTGAAAGACTGAAACATATTCCTAAAGAGTACGTCGTTCATTTATTTTTTAGAAACAGCTTCAACTCGATAACAGTCCTAAGATGAGAAGCTGTGGAAACGAAGCTGAAGCAGAGGTTGAAGAAACTCAAACTCACTGCTCTCAGTCCTGCTGTTGTTGCACTGCATCAGTAATCAGTCAGTCACACTCACCAGGCTGCATTCAAGCACTGCATCAAGCTTTCATATTGTGCTGCAACCCTCCTCCTCCCCATCACCGCCTTGTCTGCCAGACCAGCTCTTTAACCTTCCTATGTCGTTATTGACCTTTCTTTAACTGAATCTCTTTTTCAATCCCAGCCCCAGGTAGAGAGACACAGGAACTATTGTACATGTTTTTATTGGTAGAAACCAGTGGGGGCGGGTCTCGGCTCAAAAGTGGCCGAAATGACGTGCGCTGACATGCTTGCAATATCACCCCGGGCCGATTGCGGTGGACCTGGAATAAGAATTAGCCAATGCTAACATATAGCATGAGCTGACCTCTCGTAAACGTCTTTACAGGATGGTCCAAAAGTGGGCTCTTGCCCCAAAGCTCCGTTCCACATGTGTGTCAATGCTGAGGGGAGTGAATTTCTTTGGACCACTCTAGTTTAGTTGCTGTACATTTTTGAAGGCACTTGTTAAATGAATGGGGCTCGCGCCGGCTGACTTATGCGCAGATGTGTTTTTTCCCAACTTTCTTGTGGGCAGGACCCCTCACGGCCATTTTGGATAGCTCCAGTAGAGCACAATTTTTGGCCCATTTGTTTGAACGGCAGAGATAGGCGTGACTACGTCCGTTAATATTTACAGTCTATGGTAGAAACCAATAAAACACCACAATGTGGTCTGGCCTCGGTCTGGCCTCAGTCTGGCCTCAGTCTGGCCTCAGTCTGGCCTCAGTCTGGCCTCAGTCTGGCCTCAGTCTGGCCTCAGTCTGGCCTCAGTCTGGCCTCAGTCTGGCCTCAGTCTGGCCTCAGTCCGGTCTCAGTCAGGCCTCAGTCAGGCCTCAGACAGGCCTCAGACAGGCCTCAGTCTGTATCACTCTTTCCAGTGGTTTTAATGCCCACATTTACACAACATTAGTTTTACAGCTGTTGTTATACACCAGAGCAGAAGATGAGCAGAAGATGACACGGCCGGTGAGCACGGCAGTTTCAGCTGTTTGTTAGCAACAATATATAACAATATAATGTTTAAAAATATTGTGTAGCTTTTATCTAATCACCCACTCAGCAGTGATACACTATTATCAGTATTGTAATATGGAACTCCCAGAACAGATCATAGCCTGTAAACAGATGGACAATGCTAACCCGCTAGCTCAATGAAGCCCAAAAGAGAAGTGCTCATAGACAAGGTTTTGCTTTTAAAATAGGTAAGAGCCCCTTGAGTTTTATTGTTTGTACATGTTAATGAACACCACTCCGGATCGTAGCCTTGGGCTAATTTGCGTCCATTGTCCCACCTTCGCACTCACAAACACAGGGGAACCCGGAGCCCAGAGGAAACCTATGCAGACACGGGGAGAACATGCAAACGCCACTCAGAAAGGCCCTGTTCCGACCGGGATTCAAACACAGAACCTTCTTGCTGAGAAGCGAGAGTGCTATCCACTCAGCCACCGTGCCCCCCTATTACGCCTTATTAGCACTTTGGGCTGAGAGACAATTGGCTGAGCAAGATTGTCCTTTTTCTAGAAGATGCGACATATAGACCAACGCATTTGAAACAAATTGGGACCAAACAGTTTTAAGATCCAGGAAATAATCTGATGCATTTTAGTATACAGTATTACAAAGTGGGGCGACAGTGGCTCATTGGCCTTTGGGCCTGAAGGTTGTGGGTTCAAGCCCACCATGAAACCTACTTCACGACTCCAACTGATGTCTGCTGTCGTTGTGTCCTTGGGCAAGACACTTAACCCCATTTTGCCTGAAGCCCCCGCTGAAAGCTCAAGGCTCCTGTGGACTCACCACCTGCAGGAGGATTAGTGAGGGGCTGGTGCTATGTGACTTGGGTGGTATCTCTGAGTGTCACCCCGCCGACCCAGAAATGGATTAAGGGGAAATGATGGATGAATGGATGGATGGATGGTTTTACAAAGTCAGATACCCAAGCTTTTATTTTTATGTTTTTGTTCAATGCCATATGAACCAACTCGGATTCTGAAGAGCACAGTGACTGGCCTTCTGCTGGTCCCAGAGTCAGGTCTAAACATGGGGAGTCCACGTTTCAGATTATCAGCTCAAATCTGGAACAGCATTCCTGAAAATATGAGACAGTCTTCTGTGACAATATTCAGATTCAGGTTAAAAACAGATCTGTTTCGCTGACAGTAGCTCAGTTAGTACATTGGCCTTTGAGCCAGAGGGTCGTGGGTTCCAGCCTGGCCTTCACCATCGACTCCCACTGTCTGCTGTCGTTGTGTCCTTGGCAAGACACTTAACCTCTGGGAACACCTGATGCCACAGTGGGGCGACTGCGGCTGTAAAGTGCCAAACTGCTGTTGTGTCCTTAGGCAAGACACTTCACCCCCATTGCCTAAAATGAGTCTGGTGTGTGTGTGAATGGTTGGTGGTGGTCGGAGGGGCCGATGGCACATACTGGTTGCCTCGCTTCTGTCAGTGTGCCCCAGGGCAGCTGTGGCTACAGTAGTAGTTCATCACCATGTATGGAGTGAAAGAATAATGACATGTAAAGCATCTTTGAGAGTCCAGAAAAGCGCTATATAAAACCGATGCATTATTATTATTAATAATTTAAGGATTTTATCTTCACTCTTTTTAATGCACTGTTATTATTCAGGATTTTAATGTTTTCTTTTCTTGTTTTGTCCAGTTTGTTCCCTTGTGTATGAACACAAATGCTACACAAATAAACGTGCCTTTTCACTTTCCATACCAAATCCCAGTGATGCATAATACAAAATATGACATACTATCTCGTGCACTTACACATGCGCACATACAACCACAATCACACATCCACGTACACCGCTCCATTCTTAACAATGATAATTATTGTCATTCTCAAAAACCCGGTCCGTCTTAAACCGCGCTCGCTTGAATGGTGTCTGGCCGTAGGTGAAGATCCGTGAATGGACCAGGTCTCTGCGCCTTTAACGCACTTCGCTCCACCCTTTCTCCTCAATGACAACTCTCTGCGCCTCTCGCTCTCTCCAGCTCCAGCTCCAGTGGTGTAATACCAAGCACGGAGACGCACCACACACTGTCCTCAAAACCAACACTCACCAGCGGCATCAGAAACTGCAAAACCCCCGTGGATGAAGAACAGGTGATGCCATAAAAAAAGGACATTTTTGTGGGGGGATTTGCTTTGTTTTTTGCAGTGCGTAATTAGATGCCAACGCGCTGGGATGACTGTGGATTGGAGACGCGAGGAGAATGAGAGAAGTTTCTGCATTTTTATTCAGCAACACCAACATCTGCATAGGGTTTTCTTGGATGCGCTGTAAATCTCGCTTGTCACACGGGAAGTTAACGCTGTGGTAGTGGTGTGGCTTCTGTTTTTTTTTTTTTTTTTTTGCGTCGTGCGTGCCCGATTTTTCCATTTTTTTGTATATGTCAAGCAAAGGCGAAGACTGATCGACCTGATGAAATGTGAAAATGTCCGTCTCGCTGGTGGCTGCGTGAGGATCATGTCTAGTAAGTGTGCTAGATGGCTTCAGGAGGAGCTGGAGAACGGGGCCACGGCTCTCCTGCTCCTGGACTGCAGAGCGCATGAGTCGTACGAGTGCTCCCACATCGAATCGGCGATCAACTTGGCCATACCGGGCCTCATGCTGCGCCGGCTGAAGAAAGGCAACCTGCCCATCCGCTCCATCATCCCCAACAACGAGGACAAGGAGAAATTTGTCAAGCGCTGCAAGACTGATGTTGTGGTGCTGTATGATGAGGCGGCTTCGGAGAGACAGGAGACCGGGCTGGGGAGCTCTGTCCTGGGGCTTCTGCTGCACAAGCTCCGGGATGATGGATGTAAAGCTTTTTACCTGGAGGGTGAGTTTATACACTTTTTTTTGGATATTTTAGGCAAGGGAAGTTTTTATTGTATAACACAGTTCATACACAACTCAAAGTGCTGAACAACACAAGACAATACAATGTAATACTGAATAATAATCTAGTTCAATTCCATTTAATTTTGTATAGCCCTAAATCAATACAGTTATCTTGGAGGACTTTACAAAGCTGTCGATTTGTCAACACAGATCAGAAAATCAAAAGGTTCAAACACAAGGAATTCAATGATTCAAAAAAACAACGAAGATAAATGTCCATAAATGTCCTTGAATGTAATCGCAGAAGTTAAAAAGAGTGAAGATGCAATCCTTCAGTTGTCGCAGTGAAACAGAACTATTTTAACCTGGATTGTCAGAGTCGAAGACATTTCAGGAAGACTGTTCCAGGTGCTTTTTTATGTTTTATTTTTTATTGATGGGACAGTGTGTACTAATGAACAGTAACGGCTACGGCTAGCTAATTTCCGTCTGTAGTCCCACAGTCACAGTCTGTCATTCAACCCTCACTCTCTTACATGTTTTTAGTGGTAGGGCCAACCGGAGCACATGGAGGAAACCCACGCAGACACAGGGAGAACGCGCAAACTCCAAACAGAAAGGCCCAGTGCTTGTATTTTGATTATGAAGAATAGAGAGGATGGCAAATGGCTAGAGCAACGAGATTCGACCGATGGAATCTCAAAAGCTATGCCTTAAAGCTGGGGTTCCTTAATTTTAAATAATACATTTGGTTTGAACCATCAGAAAGAGTCAGTCAGAAATCAGACCACAACATGTGGTCTTCATCATATATATATATATAAAAAAAAGAAAAACATGTCTTTTGTATACATGTAAGAAAGAACCTTGTGAGTCACTATTTGATGCTTTGGGTTGAGAGCTGATTGGCTTTGACTTTTCTGTCTTAATAAGCAGATCTAAAGATGTGAAGCCAAAATACATGAATGTAATACTAGCAATAGAACTTCTCTAGTCTCTCTCTGATTTCTCACTTTGCCCTCTCTCTCAGGTCTTCCTCTTTGGCCTCTCTCTGGCGTCTCTTTCGTGTCTCTCTGGTCATTCTCTGTTCTTTCTCTGGCCTCTCGTGTTTCTTTCATGTCTCTGGACTCTCAGGTCTCTATACTTTCCTGTCAAAAAACCCCCTGATCTTTAGACGTTAGACCAAGATACATGCGAAAACAAAATGTTTTGAGAGCAAGGAACTAGATGGATTACATTTTGTTTAATTTTTTTGGTTCAGTACCCTGGCTTAATAGTAATGCGTCATGCTTCCCATATTCTTTACACCAACACACATACATAAGGTCATGTCTTGAGAGGATTAGAATGTAGAATTAAGATAAATCCGGCAGCTTTTGTTGTTTACCAGAAATGCACAGGAGATATGCCTTTGTGTTCGATCAGATATACTTCCCCTTCTCAGTTCAATCTTGTGTAATACATGTTATTCACATAGTGGCTGTGTCTAGGGTGATTACAAAACATTCTCAAAATCCCAACATATTTGTGCCACAATTCCTGCACAGTCTTAACCTTAAAAACAGTTATTGGCCTTTTCTCTTTCCCATAGGAAAACCCAGGAACTATGTCAGAGTTGAAGCCTTTCTCACATTTTTAGAAAGATTAATTTTAATGTTGTTATTAATAGTGACAGCAATTGTAGCATACCAAAAAAACAAATATAGTGTTTGGATTTTAAAAAATATAATTCAGTTTTCACGTAATAATTGAGGTGTGTAAACTTTTTAAAGGTCATAGAGTGATTAAAGTGTCAAGCAAATTAAAACCTGGTTGCAGGGAGATCTGATATGTGTTTACCACATAATAGAGAAACATATTTATTACACAGTGAAGTCTCACAAATGGTACGTTCCTGAAGCTGTGTATACTAGTGTATATTAGTCGTACTATTATTAATGTTAGGCAAGGATTAATTTACTTTAGCTAGCAGCTGTGTTACATCTACTCAAATGCTCAGCAACTACATCTAATGTTATGAGGAAAAACATGAAGATTTAAAACGTCCCCAGTCTGACATTATATAAAAACCCCAAGTAAATAACTAATTAAACATTAAACATCTACTTTATTCATGTTATTACACTAATTTTCGCGTATTGGCCATAGACTTTATATATTAGCATTACAGTTTATAGTTACCATAGACAATGCTAACAGTCTATGGTAGGATCATAGCATGTTAGCATTTCAGCTCGTATGCTAGCGTTACATGCTAACCCGTTGTAGCGGTAATTAACGTCGTAGTTTTATACAAACACGCTCCACAGTGTGTTCATCTGTCAGTTGAATGTGTAATGAACCCTGGCCAGACCCTATTCTAGCGTGGTCTGTGTTGTTACAAATATGTCAAATAGAAATATGTCAAAATGGGTGTATGTGGGGAGCAGCAGCACTGTGATTTCGCTCCGCCATGTTGTGTTATGGTTGTTTTTCATGAATGAACGCAGGCTCGGTGAAAGCTAAAACTGCTTTATCCGAGGCTTAAACCGCGCGATAGGGGAGCGACTTGGCTGTGTGTGTGTGGCCTGCTTTAGCCTCGCTCTGGGGAGGTTTTAATCCGTGGATATGAGCTGACATGTTTCTGGAGGGAGTAGTGGATCTGTCATTCACAAAAATAGCAGGACGCGCGCGCTCTCTGTGTTTCTCAATGGAGCCGCATCTGTCCAGAGGATTACTGCAGCGGCGCTAATACCACACACTAAACTACATTATCTGTGTCTCTGAATGGAGGAGGGACATGTTTGTTTGCAGGATAAAATGAACTGCATTGATTCATTAATGTGTGTATTACGAAGACCGATGAACACAGCTGACCTGACCTCACGTGTCAGTAAATATGTCAGAATGTGCAACATAGGACCACATGTGTACACTGTCATTTTACGTTGAGGAGCACAGCAGTATCGCACCCTCATGCAGCTAACATGTACAGTAGTATCATATGCTGCTAACATGTACAGTAGTATCATATGCTGCTAACATGTACAGTAGTATCGCACCCTCATGCTGCTAACATGTACAGTAGTATCATATGCTGCTAACATGTACAGTAGTATCATATGCTGCTAACATGTACAGTAGTATCATATGCTGCTAACATGTACAGTAGTATCGCACCCTCATGCTGCTAACATGTACAGTAGTATCATATGCTGCTAACATGTACAGTAGTATCGCACCCTCATGCTGCTAACATGTACAGTAGTATCAGATGCTGCTAACATGTACAGTACAGTAGTATCGCACCCTCATGCTGCTAACATGTACTGTAGTATCACACCCTCATGCTGCTAACATGTACAGTAGTATCAGATGCTGATAACATGTCCAATAAAAGTGTATGACGCGCAAAATTACGATAGAAAACTCTGGCTTGGCTGGATACAGTTGCAATTTAATTTAATGATGATGGTTCAACAAAATGCATGCTGAACATGAATAAATGTAAGCCAGAAAAAATACTAAAAATAACCTAAGAAAACTATAATAGCCGTCAACAAAAAATATGGCCACCCAAATGGACCCTCTCTCCTGTCCCTTGCCCATTATGTGTTCATAATCTCGTGTATACCATGCCCACACACACGCAGGCACACACGCACCATATGTTGCGAAACATGCATTCATATATTGTCCTAGTAGTATATCATGCATCTGCCTACTATATGTTCAATAACTGATGACTATTGTTGTTTCAGTAATTTTAACCTTTAGGCAAGGCAAGTGTATTTTCATAGCACAAATAATACACAAGGCAAGTCAAAGTACTTAAAAAAACAAGATGGAAACATTTACACAAGGCATTGGAATCATAATTAACCACAGTAAATTTCACATTTCTGGGAGATTGTTCCAGATTTTTGCTGCATTACTCTGAAACGCTGCCTCCCTCATGTTTAGTCCTGACTCTGGGCACCACCAGGAGGCCAGTCCCTGTGCTCCTCAGAAACCTAAGAAACACACTCTTGTTTTTTCTTGCTTAGGTGGCTTCAACAAGTTCCAGTCGGAGTATCCGGAGCACTGCGAGACCAACCTGGACTGCTCCTGCCCCAGCAGCTCCCCGCCCGCCTCAGTCCTGGGTCTGGGAGGTCTGCGGATCAGCTCGGACTGCTCGGATGGAGAATCGGACCGAGAGCCGGGAAGTGCCACTGAGTCGGAGGGAAGTCCATTACCCAGCAACCAGCCAGCGTTCCCGGTTCAGATCCTGCCCTATCTGTACCTGGGCTGTGCCAAAGACTCCACCAACCTGGATGTACTCAGTAAATACAACATTAAGTACATTCTCAACGTGACTCCGAATCTGCCCAACATGTTTGAACACGAGGGGGATTTCAAGTACAAGCAGATCCCCATCTCGGACCACTGGAGCCAGAACCTGTCCCAGTTCTTTCCAGAGGCCATCTCATTCATTGGTGAGAGCTGTTATTCTGATGACATTTGTGGTTTTTAATGCTTTCTGTGTAAAGAAATTAGTTTGTTGAGAGAAACAGAAACGATTTTGACTTTTGGTATCACTTCAGATTATCCATCACTGATTAACAGCTAGTTAAGTGCTAATTACTATACACTGACCCCTAACCACATGGGAAAGTGTCATTTAGTAGTTAGTTAGATGTTGAATAAGGCCATGCTTAATAAATACCAATTAAGAGCTAATTCAAGATAAAGTAAGCTAATTAGCACTCAATTAGCTGTTAATAAGTGAGGTCTAAACTAAAGTGTGACCTAAAATCTCTAAGGTAAGGTAAGATTTAAATGGCACAGTCCAGACACAAGGCAACTCAAAGTGCTTAATAAAGCCATATGGACCAATGGCTTCAATGTGTTTATATCTAATTTCCTGGTTTCTCACCTTTTTTGCCCCTCTGGGTTTCTGAGTGGTCCCTTGCCGATGCAGAAGGGTCTAAGGGTGCTTTCCGCAAACGCTCAAACGCTGAAGCCCCGCTCACCAGACGCACATTCTCTAGTTTTCAGACGCAGAGGACCTAACGTCCTTACGCGAGCCGGAAGTGCCGGAAGTATGCTCTTCGGCTCTGATGCTAACAGAGCAATGCTAGCGGCTTCTTGTGTACAGATCTTCTCCAATATGCAGCTTTGCAGCGTGTCTTTGAACAGAGACTTTCCACGGGCTTTATATAACAATAGTATGTGTTCAAGGAGGTGCACCATACGTTTTTTCATATTATTAAACGGTATTTCCGCATCGGCGAACACACTCGAAGCAGTTGCATAAGGTCACGGGAGCATGACAACGCATATTTTCACAAGCACACAGTCCCCCATTGTCAACCCTGGTTTGAGTTCTGGTGAAGCCTGGTGTGGGTCCTGTTTTGGCTGTTTACGAGTATTTTCAGTCTGCTCGCTCAGTCCGCTAATGTCCCCGTGACCACTTTGCGGCTCTCTGATTGGTTGTCACACGAACGTCCCAAGGAAAGGATGAGCAGAATCCATCTCCTGTGGGCGTCGATTTTTTGCCTTTGACTTTCCCGCCAAGTCCGTGTGTGTCTACTGAACAGTCCGTCCGTGCGTGCCGACAGGGCCGTGTGTTGTGACGTTGCAACGCGCGTCACCATAGACTTTGCATTGAAACCCGACGCAACGCATGATCCGGTCTGAACGCGCCATAAGGACACTGGTGATCTGGGACAGTTCAGCAGATATATTAACATGTTTGAACAGTAGTCATCCCGCTCCCTATGGACCAATCGCTTCTATTGCATTTCCTGTGTTCTAACTGTTGATGAATCGGCACAAAAAACACATACATTTAATTGAATAGTTTTCAGTGGTTTTGGTTTCGAAGATTGGCTCATTCACAGTCGGTGTGATTGAAGAAAAGAATTGAAAAACCAGTCTTATATTGCATCTGTGTGATTCAGCATGTTTGTACAAAGTAGAGACTCTACTGAGGGGAACTTTTCCTATCTGAGAGAAGAGGCATCAATGATGTTTTACTCTCTCCCTGTGGTCTCTCTCTCTGGTGCCTCTCTCTGGTCTCTCTCTGTTCTCTCTCTCTATCCGGTCTCTCTCTCTCTGGTCTTTCCCTCTGTGCTCTCTCTCTCTCTCTGGTTTCTCTCTCTGCTCTCTCTTCGCTCTCTTGTCTGTCTCTCTCTGGTTCATGTTTGCACAATGCAGAGAATCCACTGCTCGAAACGGTTCCTACCTATAGAAGAGGCGTGGATATGGTGTTTTAATAAGCTGAGATTAGAATGAGGAACTATAAAGGCAGAAGTTGGTGCCACATTTTCAGCTGTGAATAAGTGAACTAGTTTGTTATACATTATAATAGTGCTAATAATTAATGTGTCAGACAGAATACATTCTCATGTTAATTTAAGTGAGATAAGGTTCTTGTAAAACTTACAAACCTTTTGTGCCGTTCTCTCTCTGCTCTCCCGGCTCTCTCTCTCTCTGGCCTCTCTTTCTCTGCTCTCGCTGGTCCCTCCCTGCTCTCTCTCACTGCTCGCTCTCTACGCTATATGATGCTTCTTAAATAAACTCCTTTTCAAGCTGCATTCTGAGTTTTGCTGCAGCTGTTTTGTGTCTAATGAGAGAGTGAGAGCGGTGCAGTGGTAGCTACGTTGTCGTCTTTCTGTTGTGTCCTTTTAAACAGCACACCTCAAAAGACAACAGAAAAATACATTTATACAGGGTTTCTAAGGTTTAAATTTGATCACTGGTTTGAAGAGGAAGCAAGTCTTGTGTCAAATATCAATATCTGTAGATCCAGGACTGAGGCTGGAGATCCAGAAAAACATTGCTAAAATGGTCACTTTGGTTCCATTTCAGCAGTTCGAGTTTTGAGCTCCGTAATGTCCTTTTGGGGGGTTTGCCTTCTGCTCGAAATCTCTGGTGCAGACAGATTTTGGCCTATTTTGTTATGAAATCTGCACAGATAATATTTAATTTAATTTGACATCCGCTCACTGGATCCTCCTGACCTCAATCCTCCAACACAAAAGACAGAGCTGAGAAAAAGATAAATGTGTGAGAGGAGGAGCGAGAGCAGAGAGAAGATCATAGTCATTACAAAAATCACACGTTTAGAGAGAGACGAGAGAGAGAGAGACGAGAGAGAGAGACCAGAGAGAGCGAGACAAAAGAGAGAGCGAGGCAAAAGAGAGAGAGAGACCAGATTTTATATAGATCCGAAATGGAATATATATCTGGATAGCAGACAGAAACATGTTTTCTCTTCCCCCATTGAGAAATATTACTCGGTTTTCAGACTCGTGTGGCAGTAAAGCGAGTCACAGAGAGAAGCACAAAAGCGGAAGAGGAGATGGAGACAGCTCTTAAGCCGCTGTAATGGTGTGTGAAGGCTGCGGCTGAGGAAAGGTGCCTGGTGAATAATGCATGGGTCTTATTCAAGGGTTAGTGGAGAGTGAGAGGAAGCAGCAGCAGTAGCAGCATTCTTACACAGAGAGAGGACTGGGGCCATTGAGAAATCCTGCTCCAAACCAATTAGTAGTATTGTATATGTAGTGGTTATTGTGGACGGGATTGTTCGGATCCAAGAGAGCAGAGTGAGTAGAGAGAGAAAAGGGAGAGAATGGGCTGAGAGAGAGACCAGAGAGAGAGACCAGAGAGAGAGACCAGAGAGAGACCAGAGAGAGAGACCAGAGAGAGAGACCGGAGAGAGAGACCGGAGAGTTAGACCGGAGAGTTAGACCGGAGAGTTAGACCGGAGAGTTAGACCAGAGAGTTAGACCAGAGAGTTAGACCAGAGAGCTAGACCAGAGAGCTAGACCAGAGAGCTAGACCAGAGAGCTAGACCAGAGAGCTAGACCAGAGAGCTAGACCAGAGAGCTAGACCAGAGAGCTAGACCAGAGAGCTAGACCAGAGAGCTAGACCAGAGAGCTAGACCAGAGAGCTAGACCAGAGAGCTAGACCAGAGAGCTAGACCAGAGAGCGAGACCAGAGAGCTAGAGACCCGAGAGAGACCCGCTTCAAACCAATTTGTATAGTGCATGTAGTGGTTATTGTTGCTGTTGCAAGAGGTTCAATATGGATTTTGTTTTCAATTATCCAATAGTTGTCTTGCTGTTGTAGCTGAAATCTTATAATTGCAGAGGCTGGTGAGTCCATAGTATAGACCAGTGTCTCCCAAAGTGGGGTCCGCGGCCCCCTGGTGGGCCGCGAGGGTACTGCAGGGGGGCCGCGGGAGGTCATAAAAAAAAATATATATATAATATAATTATTTAATGTTAAATTTATAATGTTGTGTTTGTAATATTAAAATATTTGTGTTCATTATTTGACTTGAATAATCCACTGTAATCATTTTTGTATTACAATGTTTGTAGCAGAAGGTATTTCCCCAAAATAAAATAACCAGAAGAGCCTTAATGTTGTCTTCTTGGTTATTATGTTGGGGGGCCACGCAGACCCGTCAGATTTTTAAGGGGGCCTCGGTGTTACTGAGTTTGGGAATGTCTGGTATAGACCATCAACTTATGTTAAAGAATTCATTTAGCCACCGTCCCCTACAGCCATATACACAGCAGCGCTTCCCAAATTGGGGTCCAAAGCCACCAGACAGAGGGACCAGAGAGAGAGGGACCAGAGAGGGACAAGATAGAAACTGTGATTGTTCTTGTTTTGTTCAGCACTTTGAGTTTCCTTGTGTCTAAATTGTGCTATACAAATAAACTTGCCTTGACCAAAAATCTGACCGTTTCTATACTCTAACCATCTCACTCACATTTGGCCTTCTCTTTTCCCTCTTTCTTCAGACGAGGCTCGCTCCAAGAAGTGTGGGATCCTGGTGCACTGCCTGGCCGGGATCAGCCGCTCGGTCACCGTCACCGTGGCGTACCTCATGCAGAAGCTCAACCTCTCGCTGAACGACGCCTACGACTTCGTCAAGCGCAAGAAATCCAACATCTCGCCCAACTTCAACTTCATGGGGCAGCTTCTGGACTTCGAACGGACTCTCGGCCTCAACAGCCCCTGCGACAACCACGCCTCCACTCCGCCGCACGACCAGCTGTTCTTCACCACTCCCACGAACCATAACGTGTTCCAACTGGACACACTGGAGTCCACATGAAAGCCAACGAAGATTCGACTTGAGGAACCAGCGTAATCGGTTATTTATTGGTGTAGCGGCTGCCTATGCCTGTGCAGAGGTGTTGCCGGGCAGATTTGATTAATGTTTCCGTCCTTATAGCTCATGGGCTAATGGATGAGCATTGAAGAGATCTGTGGTTGGGAGAGAATGATCTCAAATGCCAAGTTTAAGAAGAAGATTTTTTACAGAGAGAGATGCTACACAAGGTTACGGCCATATCTTCAGGCCAAAGTTGAGGACAAAAACCAACTAAAGACCAAGGATTCTCCCAAGACATTGCAAAGCTTTACAGAACAGTAACATGGGATGGGCACTGCACAGGTTATAACAAACGTTTTTTTTGCGTTTCTTGTACAAATTTGACTTGTGCCAAGTGGAGAATCCAGGATTTTACTCTACGGAGTTTTTAAAAAACCAAGGAATTAAGTCTCATTAACGATGTATGTATGTTTGTACCGTATGTACTGGTGGTGCATACTGTAGCAGTCCTTAACCAGTATGTCTTTATGCATTTTTGTAACTTTCGCGTATTTACACAAATCTTATATATAACTACTATATAAAGTATATACACATAGACACTTATCTTTGTCCAGAAGCATTAATCAAACAATGGCTTTCGATTGTATGACTCGAGGACTATGGCGGAGTCTCCAAATCCCTTAGAAATAGATTTTTTTCCTTTCCCCCGATTGTCATTTTAGCTTAGTAGTGTGACGTAATGCGGTTTGCACAGTGCTATTGACTTGTTGGCACTTGAATCAGTGGAGGAGAGGCCAGTCCCAGGCCGTGGCGTGCCCAGACTTCACTGGAGAGGGAGCAGGAACAAAGCCCTGAATGTGATTGGCTGACCGAATGTGCAAAAAAAAAAGTGCATATCTACTCAGAGATGACAAAATGAAGTGTTTCCCAAACACTGGAGAGAGGGGAGGAATACTTAGAATTATTATCAAAGAGATAGTATAGTGTAGTCAAAATAGAAATTGTATCAAAATCATCTAATTTTACATCCTTAGAATCTCTCTTTCTGGTTTTTCTCTCACTTCAGCAGTCGTGAGTTCAGATTTTTAGAGTGTGTGTGTGAGGGGTTTTACAGCCTTAAAACATGGAGCTAGATTCTACTTCAAGTTATTTTTAGAACACATCACCCCTGTAGGAATGTGGGGATATATGTCAGATATTATGGATTTTATTTTATATCGTTGAACTGTAGACACTGGAAATCATCAAATATGATCTAAAAACATTCAGATATTGCACAATATTGAGTTTGCCTTTACAGCTATGTCGTCATTTTAAACTGTTGCTGAAATACGGCTTTGTTCCTGGTTCCTTCTTCCTGACATGTGACTGTTGCCCAATAGACTGTTTCTCATCACCGGCTTTTTATCCTCAACATTTAGTTTTTTATATTTTAAAACACTTTTCTTGTTAAATAGACTAAATGTTTTCATCTGTCCACACGTCACAAACTGACACAAAAAAGAGTTTTAAGTCATGTTCATTTCAAGTCTACATTTTTATTTTATCTTATTTTCAGTCTATTGCTTTGGACTGGGACTGGTTTCGCCAACTTAAGCCCAGCTCTGCCCTGCTCTACTTTACTTGGCTCTATTTTTATTCTACTCTACCTGGCTGCGTTTCCATTACGCTTTAGTATCTAGAGTTGTACCCAGAGTAGAGTAGAGCTGGTGGAAACAGGGCTTTAGATTGCACTTAGTAATTCTTTCTCCGCTTTTGGCCAAAAATCAACTTTTCTCTATTTCAAACCAAACCAAGCCCCACATTTTGCCCCTGGTAATGCTGAGTTGATCCCCCTTCAGCCTTGGGTATTAAACACAGATATATATTGAAAATGAACTATTTATATACGTTATTTTATTGCGATAAGTAAAGGGAGTTCTCATATTTTGTATACCTGCGCATGCCAAGGTCCCACGTGCTCCTCAGAGTCCGCCATCTGCTTAAAAGTTGGATTCCCGCTTTTTGTACCCAGCCGTTCGTTAGACCCTGCTCGAGCACTTTCAAATTATGAATCAGTATTTTAGATAAGAAGAAGAGATAAAACAATGTGATTTTACGGAGTAACAATCACAAAAACGGCAGCACTTAATTTGGGCGATTGCAAAATCGCCGAAAGTCGTAAACTTACAGTAGATTAGAGTTATGGTTCGTACTGGTGAGTAATGCTTTATGAGGGAAGACACAAAGTCCTGACAGCTTAAAATGGTGGATTAATACAGGATTTTCTCTGACCAGAAATGTCACATTTTTAAAAGTGGAAATATATTCTACAATTTTTATTTTACACAGCATTAAATCTAATTCCTTTTACAGTTTTTGAACACGCTGGTTATGGTGTTATAGTGCTGAAAAGTGGAAATAAACAGTTTGTATTTGCATGAAATGCATTACATAGATACAAATAAAAAAATATTTTGACTGATTTGAACAAAGCTTATACCAAATAGAGTAAAGCAAATTTATTGACTTTCATTGAACCAGGAAACTCAGCAGAGTTCTCAGAATCTTCTGTATTGTAAAATGACTTATGTCAACCACTTTATAACTGTTTTTTTTTTTTTCCATTTTTGCTGTAGAAAGTATATGTATACAGTGTAAGTTCAGGCTCAATCATTCCTCTATTGACTCCATGCAGTGTTAAAGACACTATCAGTGAGAATCTTCCATAGACTATATTACATATAGTGGGCTGATGAAGTGTGACATCACCATAGTGTTAGCCTTAATACAGAATAAGCTTGCTGGAGCCTATTTCCGTATATGGGCATTTGTTCCGACGGCGTTAGCTTTGCACCGTAACAGGGGCAGACTGTTTGGTCAATCCTTATATGGCTCATATCTGGATTTACAAATCCAGACGATATCACAATATAAACACCAGGATCACAGCAAGCTCTAAACCACATATTTTTTAATCCCAAAATGATGAGTGTGACACAAACACTTACTGAGGAGTAACGGTTTGTGTCTCTCTCTCTGCTCTCTGGTCTTGCTCTGCTCTCTCTCTATGGTCTCTCTCTCTCTGGCCTCTCTGTGGTGTCTCTCGCTCTCTTTCTCTCTCTCTGTCTGGTCTCTGTCTGGTGTCTCCCAGCCCAAAATGGTGAGTGTGAGTGTGCAGTTTATTTTTACATGTAATAGGAGCCAGAGCAATTTCACAATAAGCACTTCCTTATTGAGTTTTACTGAGCTAGCGGTTTAGCATTGTCCATCTACAGTCTATGGAATCTTCTCAAATCATATATATATAATTCATGTATGTGTTTTATTTCTGTGGGGTCAGAATAACTGTTTTTTAAGGGAACAAACTGGACATACTTTGTCGGTCGTCACTGGCCTTACTCTTGCTCTTGACTGTTTCGCTAAAAAACTTGTAAATTGTCACACAACACGGGTCATGCAGGTCGGCTTGTTTCTCTGCAATATATCCAAACTTTTACGCAGAATTTTATAGATTTTGTTTTGTTATTTGTTCAAAAATTCACTTGTTTTTTGTACACATTTTGCGGTAAAAGCAGTTTCCGCGGGTGAAATGGTGAGGTGTGTCCACAGAGAACGCAATCAAACTGTTATTTATGAAGCCGGGAAAGTTAAGTCATAAATACTGCACTTTAAACATGCAGTGGTCTAATATTATATTGGAAATTTTTACATTAGAATTAGTGTCATCACCATAGTGTTAGTATTAATTCTGAGGAAGCCAATTTGAACATCAGATAGCTGGAGCCAGTTTCTTTATGGGCATTTGTTCTGACGGCGTCAACTTCACGCCATAACAGGGGTAGAGGTGTTGCTAGGGCGGTTGCTAAGGCAAGTTGGAGTTTCTGATTGCTTTCCTTAAATGGCTCTTATCTGGATTTACAAAGACAATATCACAATATAAACACCAGGATCACAGATGGAGCTAAACCACAGATTTATCAACTCAAAAAAGCCCAAAAGGGTGAGTGATGGTGAGCGAGTTGGAGCCAAACTTCACCATGAGCATTTCCCTTTTGGGTTTCATTGGGCTTGCGGGTTAGCATTGTCCATCCGTCTACAGGCTATGCATCAAACCAACTTGCAAAGGTAAATCTATATTCATAACTGTATATTCTGGACACACCTCGCCTCGGATCTGACGTGCTCTATGCTATTCCTGTTGCCTTTTGAATATAAATGATCCATGTTATATGCAACAGCGCCTCCTGTCACACCGCCGGAAAAGGACAAACACACATCCTACAATAAGAACCGGCGTCAAAACCTGGTGTCCGAACCATCAGACGATTTTCTACTGAAGTGGTCTGTTCAGCGTCGTCTTGTGTCTTTGTAATAACATGAGAAACGCTGCCATTTTGTGGGTTTGTACATTTGCCTGATCACAGGAACAAAGCGTTTTTGTGTCCTTAAACTTGTAGCTACACTTTGGTAAGAATGTTTTACACGGAGTAGGAGTAGGAGGAGGCGGTGGTGGTGATGGTGAGGTCAGGGCTTGGCTTCAGCTGATGGACTGCTGACACAATTGAACTTTATAAAGACATTACATCTGTGTCTATGGTTTGTATAGAGCTGCATTCATCTGTCATTCATTTGTCTAATTATTGTCATTATCAAAGTGAGCGATTTAGGTATTGAGAGGGGAGGGGGGTCTTTCTCTGGTCTTTCTAGTCTCTGGTCTCTTATCTCTCTCCAGTCTCTCTCTGGTCTCTCTCTCTGGTCTCTCTCTCTGGTCTCCCTCTAGTCTTACTAGTCTCTCATTCACTTTTATGTGGAGATTGTGACAGAATGAATGCAGCAAGTCCATGGAGATGGACACACAAAAAAGACATGCATGAGTTGCTCTATTGGCACATTGTATTTAAGACAAAATAATCTTTTAATAATATTATAAAACCCTCTTCCTTATATTTCTGCTGTGGTCAGTCGTCTGCAGCTGGAGCCAGTCCTGCAGTTGTGGAGAGAATGATTTAAACGTTACCTCAGTGAGGAACTTTTCAGGGATTTTTTTGCCGATGCATCGAGCGTTATGTTACAGCTTCATACTCGGCTGTTTTGTATCGTGCTGTAAAGAGTTTTTAAAGATGCAATCTGTCTGTAAAATATGAGGCATGAGAAACCAGGGCAGTTCTGAGACTGACCTGACGATTGTGTCGTACATGAATACACATGTTTATACTGCAAATAAATATTGATATTTTTTTCTTTACTTTGTCTAAAGTCGTTATTTACAACTGATTTTCATTCAATGTATCGAGAAGCTGGTGTCACATGATATAGAGAGAGAAATCGGAGAGTATCTACAGTCAGCTGTATCCTATTGTTGTGGTGAAGCGGGAGCAGCGTCTGTAGTCAGAGCTCTACGTTTGCTCCCTCATCTCTGGTTATGAGCTTTAGAACGAGATCGTTGAAACAAGCGGCCCACAAGAGTGTCCTCCAGAGTGGAAGGAGTCTCTTTCTCTCTGGTCTCTCTCTTTGAGATAGGGGGTGGAGCTCAGTCACAAAGGAGGAACCCAGAGTAGAGCAGCATGTCTACAACATACAGTATACAACATCATATAACCGCTAGTATGACAAAACAAGCATTTAGAATGTAGCTAGTTAGCCTTTGTTGTGTCTGCAAGCTCTAGTGTCTACTAGTGATTACAACATTTACCATTAGAGAAAACACAGACACAATATTGAGCTGTTTTGCATCGTCCTCAGATGACTCCCTTCTCCAGTCTCTCCGGCTCTGCGTCTTTAAGTGAATCTCGGAGAGTCTGAGATCTCACTGCTCTCAGGACTCCAGAAGCTGGAAATTCATCCTCAAGCCGTGATAATTGGCACGGACTCCTGCTCAGCTCTGAAATTGGATTCAAGGCCAAACGCTATGGGGAATGTGGAGAAATATGCAGATATTTCAAAAGATCACAACTCTGGCTGAAATACAAGTTTACATTTCTTGTCAAAAAGAGACTGAGAGGGAATGTTTGTCCTGTTTGTGATGTGAATAAATGTAACTGTTCCTCATTGGTTTTGCTGAAATGAAAGGCAAAACAAAGAAGTTCAATTCTTACATTTTACTAAGTTCTGGATCTACAGCCTCCGTCCTGAATTACAGCCTAAACCCTGGTTCTACAGCCTCAGTACCGGTTCTACAGCCTCAGTCCTGGATTCAAAGCATCAGGGTGTAAGGATAGTGATGAACCAGGACATTTAGATTGTGTTTTCTGTTTGTAATTGGTTTTAATGACTCAATATAAAACTGCCTTAATGACGAGTGTAGAGTGTGCAGTTGCCGGGAAGATCACCGTGTAATAAATCCCCGAGCTCATTTCTCTCCTGTATATCCAGCGCAGTGTACCGCGGGGGAAGGGGAAAGTCATAACACAAGCCGAGCAATAGATACTGGATTAGAGTAATTTCTCTGCAAACATGTGTTAATAAATGCCTGATTTAAGTCTCTTTTCTTATTGCTTTGTTGTATAGAGCTGTTGCTGATATGAGGGAGACACCCGCTCTCACCCGAGTCATGGAGGGAGGTCTCATATGCTACGTTTCTGGGCCTGGTGTCCTTTTCCATATGATCTTTTAATATAACAATGTTTCTATTCAAGCACTACAGGTGAAGCCTTTAAAAAGATCTTTAATTTGTTCATTTCAAATCTCCTGAGAGAACAGTCTTGCAGTACTATAGGTGTACTTATGCATTTCAACCTTTTGCATAAGAAAAAGCAACCCTCAGTGCTGGTTGTTGATGATAAACACTCTCCACTTCCAGGGCCAGTACAGGAAAGTCTGTTTATTTACAGCTGGGGTCCCTAACTTGGGGGGCATAAAAAGAGCAGCGTCAGCGTCTCCCTCACCTCTGGTTAGGATCTTTGGAAAGGACGAGATTGTGGATTAATGCGGTCCACATGAGTTTCCTCCAGAGTGGAGCTCCCAGATAAGAGGAGAAGCTCTGTCACACTGGATAAGCTCAAAGTAGAGCCGCTGCTCTCTTTGAGATAGGGAGCCATATGTTTGGGACGCCTTCTGGACACCCTGGGGATGGGCATCTCCCACGTGTAGGAAATTATCCGATATCACCTTCTTGGTCAAAATAATGTCAAATAAAAAATACATAGACGATTATAAATACTTCTTTGCACTTATTTTGATTTTCTTTATAATACACTTTGCTGAAAATTACTTTGTTTTGTTAATAAAGGCTGCAGAGTTACTTGTTTGTGTCAGTTACTGCTGGTGGTCTGCCATGTGATTGTTTTAAATGAAAAAAGTGTGCCACGGCTCAAAAAGGTTGGGGAACACTGCCCTATCACACTGGAGGGACTATGTCTCTCAGCTGGCCTGGGAACGCCTCAGAATTTACCCAGATGAGCTGGAAGGAGTGTGTGTGGGAGGGAAGTTTAGGGCGTCTACTCTATTCTACTCTCCTTGATTATCTGAGAAACCTACCCACAACAAACCAGTATTCAGGGAAATTCCTTGGTAACCATGGCTTCCAGCAGCACTCTGGCCTTTCAATGTCAGTTAGAACACTTTAGAATCAACTCAGCCTGGACAGAACCAGGATCAAGAGGCACTACAGAAGGACCTGGTATCAGTAGAGTAGAGCAGAGTAAAGTAGAGTAGAATAGAGCAGAACAGAGTAAAGTAGAGTAGAATAGAGCAGAACAGAGTAAAGTAGAGTAGAATAGAGCAGAACAGAGTAAAGTAGAGTAGAAAAGAGCAGAATAGAGTAAAGTAGAGAGAATTGTCTGCCTGGTTCTGACAGTCACAGAAGTGAACGTCCTGCAGCTGAAGGTCGGAGATAAGAACTGGACTGTTTGTTCACACTTGTCAAAGTCAAACATGAGGCCCCATGAGTCTCCCCACAGGCTCCAATCAGACCAGAGAGCAACCTAGCGATCAGCAAATATTTCCCCTTCCAAAAGAAATTACTGCACAACCCTGGAGAATCATCTGCGAATCCCAGAAAACTGGCAATATCCCACGGACAATGCTTACCTTGAAGCCCAATAAGGAAGTGCTCATGGTGAAGTTTGGTCTCTCTCTCTGGTCACGCTCTGGTCTCTCTCTCTCTCTCTCTGGTCTCTCTCAGGACATTGTTCCGACAACGTTAGATTTGCGACATAACAGGGGAAGACGTGTTTCTAAGGCAGCTGGAGTTTCTGATTGGTCAATCTTCATATAGCTTATATCTTGATTCTCAAAGACAACATCACAATCACAGAGAGCGTTAAACCACAGATTTAAGCCCAAAATGGTTAGACACAAACCATGAAAACGCAAGAGTTCACTTTTACATGTACAGTAAGTCAATAGGAGCCAGAAAGAGTTAGAGCCAAACTTCACCATGAGCACTTCCCTATTAGGCTAGCAGGTTAGCATTGCCCCTCTGAATACAGTCCACAGTCCAGTCTCCTCTTGCTTCTTGTATATTTGTGGATTTGTTGCAAAAGTTCGTATTGAGCAGATGTGTGTGTAAACAGCCCACAAACGGGGAAGTGAAGATAAAAATAATGCTGTGCCTGATGCTCCGACAATGAGTGTTCTTTTTGCGGTTACCATGACAACGGGAACAGGAAGTGGAAGTGTGCGAGTCGAGGAAACAATTTTGAGAGACCATATACGGTGAGGTCTTCAGGGGACGTGGTGCAGAGAGACCAGAGAGAGTAGACAAGAGAGATTGACGAGAGAGAGACCAAAGAGAGAGCGGAGAGGGACCGGAGAGAGAGACCAGAGGAAGTGACCAGAGAGACCAGAGAGAGAGACCAAAGAGAGACACCAGAGAGCTAGACCAGAGAGAGACCAGAGGAAGTGACCAGAGAGACCAGAGAGAGACACCAGAGAGTTAGACCAGAGAGAGACCAGAGAGAGACGAGAAAAAGAGAGACCAGAGAAAAACCAGAGAGAGACCAGAATGCTGAGGGAGACACGGTTACTGATCTAGAAGAGTATACTTTTACATGTAAGTCAATAGGAGCCAGAGCGAGTTGGAGAAAAACTTCACCATGAGTACTTCCATATTGGGCTTCATTGAGCTAGCGGGTTAGCATTGTCCATCTGTATTCAGGCTAGGTTTGTGGTCTGCAGCGGAGGCCTCTTCCGGTTATAGAGCCTGGAACTTGTTACATGGATGCTTGTGCTTTGAAAGTTAGGTTCCTCAGCTTTAGGAGAGAGGAGCTGCTGTCGCTTTAAAAGGGTTGAACCGAAAATCCGTGTTCGTGTAGTGAATGTGACCGCTGAAGCAATGGGGGTGGATTTGTGAATCGCGGACGACAGCTCCCTGGAGTATTGCACATAATCATGAATGTTCTCTCTGCGTTCTTCTGCTCCCAGTGTTCCGCCGTCAAATGGGGCTAATTGTAAAGAAAGATAATTCCTCCATCTCCTGTTTTAACCCTTTAAGGATCACCTAATTTCGCTTGCTCCTTCTCGAATTATGATACCCAAATGGAAATGCTTATTGTGTGGACATCTTGTGTCTGATTTTGTGTTATGATGCCTCATTTGAAAGGTAACACCTTCTAGTTTCTGAAAATGTATGTTACAGTTTGTTAGGAAGGACACAGTCTGCACTACACCTTCTCAAACATGAGTCAAAGTTAGTTTTTTTTGTCAAAAAAAAAGAAGGCAATTTCAAAAGGTTCTCCTGAAGACATACTTTATGGTATGATGTTCAAACTCACCAGAGCAGATGTTTGTGGTGTTGGAAACATCTGTATGAAATTTTAGACCTTTAGGTGGAACTATTTTGATGCTGGGGGCTTTTTTGTAACTTATGGGCACATTCGGCACAAGTGGTCCATTTTTGTGACAACTGTGCCAAAGTGTTTTACATGCAAATTATCAATGTTTTTACACCAAAAATCCATTTATATCATTTTTTGGCTATTACTCTTGCTATAAATAGCATTTTTCCAGATATTGAAATGTTTACAGAAAAGCTATTATTTATATAGTTATAGCGCGTGTTCTCCGTGAAAAAGGCTCCGTCTTCCTCTTTACGCATTCAAATATGACGGGAACAGTGGGAGGTATGGCGCCAGATTTACGCCAAAAGTCCACACGCTCAAATAACACATACACGCGCAGCTTTATTTAATTCACACGCGCGCAAACTACTCTCCACGCGCACATTTCACACCACACGCGCGCAGACTCAGTACCACGAGCCACAATACGCGCGTGTGTGCGCTCGTGACCTGCCCTCTCCCTTCTCGTGGTCTTTGTTCTGCGCGCGTTGAACACTTTTGCCATCTCTTCTACGCGCGCGTGAAATACTTTTGTCGCTTGGGGGCGGGGCCAGTGAAAGGTAAACACTGGGTTTCTTTCTGGGCGACGTTACAGGCAAGTTGTGTGCATAGCTGAGTGGCTAAAGAAGGAAGAACACTGGAGCAGACTTTGTGTTTGTGTCCTACATTATCTAATAATCAAAAAGTCCAATCCATAAGTAATCACTAGGTTACATGATGTCGCTAGATGTAGTTATCATGATCAGTCAAGTTAAAGCAAGCTCAAACAGCTAAAATGCTAACCGGCAGTTAGCATTTTAGCTGTTTTGCTAAGTTAGCTAAGGAGGCTCCTTCGTTTTAGTCTGAGGAGAAACAGCTGTTCATGATTTAGCCTGTGTAGCCTTCTAGTCACAACAAAAGCACATAAATACTTTAGTGCTAAAGTATTCAGCTCTAAAACCACAAAGTGTGTGGTGTTTTTCCTTGATTACAACAACTGGAGAACAAAAGTGATCAACCTGTATACCACTAAAAAGGCAATAATAACTTGAGCTAATGTTGCTTTTTTCCTTTATCAGGAGAACCATAGTCTGTGCCTTGCATCTGTGGAGAGGACTGCTGAGCTGAATGCATGGAGAGACGTGATGTGGATTTATGTTTTCTTTTATTTTGTGCATAACTACTAGTAAAAGTCATCCAGTGATCCTCCTTGTGTCGTGGTCCTTCTTCAGACAGCGCAGAACATGGAACACAACGCAGATTACACTAATAAAGGGGTTAACAGGTGTGCACCAGGTCAAGACTGTAATTGAACAATAAAAACAAGTTACAACGGTGCCCACACCCGTTACAAGTCCATTTCCTGCCATACAAGAACAGTTTGGGGTAAGGATGTACCCCAAGTCTTTGTGGCCATAGTTACTCCCAGGCATCATAAGGCTTTGACTTAATGCCCACTCTCTGACTGGGGAGCACATCTGCCTCAAAACACGGAACTCAGTACCAGAGTCAAAGTATTTCACATTCTTTACATAACACATAATTGTCTGCATCGATAGATTTATATGATTTAGGTTCTCTTTTGTATAGACACTGGGGGCCTGAGTGAGGTAATTATAGATATTAGGCCAGGTAACTGATGGCCATTTTCTCCTATCTACAACCCACTGTTCTGTGAGAATAGTATTATTATTACATGTTTATTTGACAGGCACAGAACAAAAAGTATTGTTACAGGTAACCAATGCCATGTTCATAGGCCGTATAGAAAACAGATAATTGGCAGTCGCTAAGGCATAAAAATATTAGAGATTTCAGTTCAGCAGGTAAAATGTTCCAGAGCTGTGGCTCTTCGACTGCAAACGAAGTCTGACCAAATGATGTTTTACATCTTGCCGGTCTGCAGTGTGTGTGGATCAGGAACTGGTGCCCATCGCAGAGGACCAATTTATGAAGATAACCTGCACCATCAGAACTATTCAGGGGTTCTGTGTAGTGTGTAGAGATGATAGCCATCCTAAACTAGCAAACACAATACAGGTACAGAAGCCAATTATGACAGGTTGAAACAGCTTAGCCCCAATTTTAAGTTCATTTTAATAAAAATACATGAAATCAAATGAAGTTTACTACTATTTAGCAATGTTAACAATTCAGATAGCTCATTTGTTTCAAAACTTTGTATACACATTTTTGATATTTGGGTTTATGGACTCACAGATTTATTGCTAGTTAGCATAGACTCATTAGGTCAACCCCCTATAATTATGCAAATAAAAAGCAAACAAATAACTCAGAGACAGTTTTATTAAACTTTGATAACGGTCCTGACATGATTCTGACAAAGCATTCAGTGTAAACAACGTACAGCGATCACAAAGGTCCCGGGATGTACCTGGCTAGCCTTGCGGCAACATAGGCTGATGAGAGAGAATATTAAACATTTACGAACTAAACATGTCCTGGTGTAAGCCTATAGGGTGTCCACAACAGTGTACATACCACGTTAAAGACTACAATAGCCAGCCCAGTTAGGGTTATAAAAAAGATATACAGTCTATGGATTAATCATATGCTTTCCATGCATAAGCATTTCATCTCCAAGCTGCAGTGGGCTGTTTACCTTTCACTGGCCCCGCCCCCAAGCGACAAAAGTATTTCACGCGCGCGTAGAAGAGATGGCAAAAGTGTTCAACGCGCGCAGAACACAGACCACGAGAAGGAAGAGGGCAGGTCACGAGCGCACACACGCGCGTATTGTGGCTCGTGGTACTGAGTCTGCGCGCGTGTGGTGTGAAATGTGCGCGTGGAGAGTAGTTTGCGCGCGTGTGAATTAAATAAAGCTGCGCGTGTATGTGTTATTTGAGCGTGTGGACTTTTGGCGTAAATCTGGCGCCATAGGGAGGAAGCTATAAGTCCGACACATCGCCTGAAACCTGAGATTATTGGCTACAAGATGATTTGATTGACATCCAAATCGGCCAATGGTAGTCAAGACAATGCTGTCATGACGCACAGATATCTATGTGAATGGAGCGCTAAAGCTAGGTGCGCTTGTTTTACTCAACTTACTCTACCTTCCAAACCATAGCACTGAAAAGTCCGGGAATGGGCTTGTTTTGAAGGGGAGGCTTAGAGAAAGACGAACATACCCAGTGACGCTAGCTAAACAGTAAAATGTCCTCTTCATACAGTGCGCAAAGAACAGGTTTTGTTTTTGTTTGTGCAACTTTCAATGCTCAAATATGTTGTTGCAAGTGGATATCTACTATAAGGATGACTTTGAAGAAAAAACAACTGGATATAATTATTCTCTAGACCCTAACGAACAAAACTAATGCACACATGTGTGGATTAGACGTGATTTGCCCCAGAATATTAGCATGACAAGGTAAGAAAGGACAATATATATTTTAAATATATATACAGTTTGACTACTTATTCTTACTTTTGGTTATATTTAATGTTTATTTGAACATAATGCGTGTATAGAGGTGGGAATAAGCTTTCAAAAGAGATATAGCTTGACTATATTGACACAAGTGAATTCTAATACTGATGCTGTTAAATGAAAAATAACTGAATCCTCCCTGTACAGGGAGGGTGATCCTTAAGAGGTTTTTAAATTGATAAGAGAGAGAGAGAGACCAGAGAAAGAGACCATAGAGAGACCAGAGAGTGATCAGAGAGAGACCAGAGAGTGACCAGAGAGAGAGAGACTATAGCTAGGGAGAGGGACCAGAGAGAGACAAGAGAGAGGGACCAGAGAGAGACCAGAGAAAGAGACCATAGAGAGACCAGAGCTGGATCAGAGAGAGATCAGAGAATGACCAGAGAGAGAGACTAGATAGAGCTATAGAGAGAGGGACCAGAGAGAGACCTGAGAGAGAGACCAGAGAAAGACCATAGAGAGACCAAAGAGTGATCCGAGAGAGACCAGAGAATGACCAGAGAGAGAGACTAGAGCTAGAGAGAGGGACCAGAGAAAGACACCATATGACCAGTGATGGATCAGAGAGAGACCAGAGAATGACCAGTGAGACAGATCAGTGCTAGAGAGAGGGACCAGAGAGAGACCAGAGAAAGAGACCATAGAGAGACCAAAGAGTGATTAGAGGGACACCAGAGAATGACCAGAGAGAGACTGAGCTAAAGAGAGTGACCAGAGAAAGACAAGAGAGAGCAACCAAAGAGAGACCAGGGAGTGAGAGAGATACTTCCTCCTGCTCATGTTTTAAATCGATAATAAATCTTTCTCATTAAGATATATTATGTGATTTAACGGGAGCAAGCTGGAGCCAATTTACTTATATGGAAATTTGTTCTGAGGGTGTTAACTTCACGCCGCAACAGGGGCAGACGTGTTTCTACAACGGTTGCTGAGGCAAGCTGGAGTCTCCCTTGTGAATGAAGGCTCCAGACGGGTCAATCCTTATATGGTTCATAACTGGAATTACAAAGACAACATCACAGATTTAAGAACAAAATGGTGACTGTGACGCAAGTGATTACTGAAATAGAGGAGTTTGCTACTCTCTAGCCAGAGAGAGTTGAAACCAAGCTACACCATGAGCACTTCCCCATTGAGCTTCATTGATCTATATACAGTTTATGGTGGTGACAAAAGCTCAAAATTCCATTTATATGTTAAAGCCCTGTTTCTATCAGCTCTACTCTACTCTTCTCTACTCGTGTTTCCATGATAATTTAGTAGCTTGTACCACATTCTAGCAAACTACCCACAAAAAAAACAGTATCCGGGTAACCATGGCTTCCAGTAGTACTCTGCAAATCACTGTGAGTTTGAACACTTTAGTACCAGCTCGGCCGGGATAGAACAGGGCCAAGAGGGACCAAAGAAGGACCTGGTACTGGTTAAAGCTGCACTAACTGACTTTATTTTTGTATTCATTACAAAAATGCTATCCATGTCCATGCAGTGCATTGGAAAATACGACCTTTTGAAGAAAAAGTAGCGCAGATTTGTGCTGGCGTAACATTATATTTTAGATCGAGTTTTGATGAAACAAGGAAGAGATGTGTTTCAGGTCGCAGATTGTGACCAATCACAGCGGACCACTGGCCCCCACTTTCGTAAGAAATCTACAGGTCCGTTACCATAGACGGCTGAGTTAGCACAACAAGCGGCGGAGCTAACCTGAAACTTTCTCGTCTTCGTCACCGGTTACTGCTTACACAGCGAAAAAGCCATCCAAAAGAAAGTCTCGTTCCTCCGCGCTTCCCGGTTCTATCGTTCTATGGTCACGCCATCCACGTGCTAATCCATATCCATGTACTATCCATATTGGGAGACGCTAGCTCCTTCAACAACAGTAGGTGTGTGTGGGGGGCGATAGCTTCGTGGGTGCGGGGAGGGGAGCGGAAAGAGCGAGGCCAGCGAGTCCGCGGCTTCAAAATCCCAAAGTCAGTTAGTGCAGCTTTAAACAGAGCCAGAGGAAACACTAAACAGAAGAGTAGAGTAGAGTAAAGCAGAGTAGAGTAGAGTAGAGGACAGAAGAGGAGCATAGAGTAGAGTAGAGCAGGGGTGGTCTCCTCTAAGTCTCTTTTAAGATGGAGATAACACATTGTTCCAGGCCTTGGACAAGGCTTGTTCGTCTAACTAAACAAGAGGACGATTGATTTCACCACGCACATTTTATTTCACATTCCTCTCACATATTTCCCCCACTCTCACCTGTGAAGAAGCAACAGCTGTATCTGAAATAAAGCCACGGTGCGTGATTCTGTCTTTTGTAGGAGACGGGGTGAGACCTCAGCGCTAACAAGCCCCACACTTTTGACAGGGGCGGCGACACCATCTCTGAGCTAAAAATATACACACAAAGGCTCAGCTAACGGCCCAGCTATTGGCCTGGCTAACGGCTCGGCTGACGGCCTAGCTAACGACACAGCTAACGGCCCAGCTAACGGCCTGGCTAACGGCTCGGCTGACGGCCTAGCTAACGACACAGCTAACGGCCCAGCTAACGGCCTGGCTAACGGCTTGGCTGACGGCCTAGCTAACAACACAGCTAACGGCCTAGCTAACAACACAGCTAACGGCCCAGCTATTGGCCTGGCTAACGGCTCGGCTGACGGCCTAGCTAACGACACAGCTAACGGCCCAGCTAACGGCCTGGCTAACGGCTCGGCTGACGGCCTAGCTAACGACACAGCTAACGGCCCAGCTAACGGCCTGGCTAACGGCTCGGCTGACGGCCTAGCTAACGACACAGCTAACGGCCCAGCTAACGGCTCGGCTAACTGCTCGGCTGACGGCTTGGCTAACAACTCGGCTAACAGTACGGTAAACGTCCTGGCCGCAAGCAGGGTATGGACACCACGTCAGTTTTATCTAGAACTAAGAAATGGGTTTTTTTTGGATACTCAAACCTTAGATGGTATTAATCATTCACTTTTCACCAATTTCAGCCATCATACTCCCGACAATGGCTCAGTTGAGCCTGAAGGTCATGCGTTCGATCCCCCCACGAGACCTAAAACACTTAACCCCACTTTGCCTGAATCCCGGCTGAAAGATCAAGGCTCTGTAGTTACTGACAGAGTAGCCGTCCTCCTGTGGACTCCCCACCTGCAGAGGATCAGTGAGGAGCTGGTGCGCTGTGATTTGGGTGCGGCCCTGACTTCCACCCCTTCGACCCAGGAATCGATTAAGGGGAAGAAGATGGATGGATGAATGGCTATGGCCTGAATGTAGCTGGTGTAAAACAACATGGACACATCACATCCCATTATAAAGCCCGGAATTTGGCAGAATCAGAGTTGTCGGCTCCTGGACAAGTGGCCCTAAAAGGTTTGGGCTAATCGAACATGTCTACAACCTCTGTCCAGGATCTACAGTGTCAGTACTGGATCAGCCGCCTCAGTCCTACATCTACAGCCTTTGTAAAGTCCTTAGAGATGACTGCTGTTGTGATGTAGTTTGATTTCATTTTATGTTTCTGGTTTTTTCTGTGTAGAGTTTGAGGTGGTTTTAATGGGAATACTCATGTGTCTGCATAGGTTTCCTCCATGTGCTCTGGTTTCCATTAAAAACATGTACAATAGCCCCCTTCTCTCTGGTCTCTCTCTCTAGTCCCTCTCTCTGGTCTCTCTCTCTAGTCCCTCTCTCTGGTCTCTCTATGGTCTCTCTCTCTAGTCCCTCTCTCTGGTCTCTCTATGGTCTCTCTCTCTAGTCCCTCTCTCTGGTCTCTCTATGGTCTCTCTCTCTAGTCCCTCTCTCTGGTCTCTCCATAGAAGACTTTCATAACTGGTGTATGTAAATGTACAAACCCGGTTCCCAAGACTAATTTATCTTATGGGAGACCACGAAGGAGTATCTTATCTCATCAATCAGAACTTGTGAGAGTAATTGTGTGTGTTTAATGCAGCGATTGTCATTTGGTATTTTCTCTGCCCATAACTCCCTCTGAGTCCACACTTTGCCCCAGCAGCAGTGTGGCCTGGGGTGACTTCTGGCAGCTGGTTGTACTCTCTCGTTTCACAGTGCAATCTGAAAATAACCCGGCGATCATTAACAGCCATCACACCGGCCTCACTTCCTGTGACAGCGACAGAGACGTGGGAGCGGCCCAGACGGACCACCATCAGACGAGCGGGTGAGGACCATCAGGCAGGAGGCAGAGGCTGAAGACAGACTGATGAATGGTCCATGTGTAACAATACTAATAATACACATTCATTTTTAGATAGATCGATACTTTATTGATCCCTGTAGGAGACATTCAGGTGTCCAGTAGCAGCAGAAACACATCAAAACAAATAAATAGTTCATTCTAAAAGTAGCTAACAAGAGTAGTATATTAAAATGCAACAGCACTTTAGGTCACAGACGGAAGGGTGGAGTAGCTTTGTGGAGTTGTTTAACACTTTTCAAAAACAGTGTTAGCAGTAAAACAATAAAATACAATACAATTTATTCTTGTTGTCATGGTGTGGACTTTTTGAATTATTTTAACCTGGTTTTATTTACTTTATTAGTTCTCTTGTATTTTGAGTTTTCCTGATTCCGGTGTGTCCTGTTGATTGTTAGCCCCGCCCTAATGTGATCCACCTGTGTCTCCTGTGTGTATATATACCCTGTGCTTTTCCCCACTTGTTGTCCGTCCATTGTCTCTACCAAGTTTGTCTTGTCTAGTTTTTCAGTTCTGGATTTTTGTGCCTTTGTCTCTCTGGATTTTGATTTTTATTAAATTACATTTGATTTTCAGTCCTGCATTTTGGGTTCCCTTTTTCTTCATTCAACCACGTGACACTTGTATAGCCCTTAATCACTACAGCAGTCATCACAGAGGACTTAAGAAAACCATTGAAATCACCAACATAGATCAGAGAATCAACAGTTGAGACACACAAAAACACACATTTGTACTGATGAATGGAGAAACCAATGTCCTTGAATGTTGATAAATGTGAAAGTGTCCTGGATCATCACCACAGTCCTTCTTGTCAGACACTTACTGTCCAACAGACCCTCCTGCATCGGCAAGGAAAAACTCTAAAACCCAGTAGGAGAAAAGTGAGAAACCTCGGGGAGATTCACATTGAGAGAGGGATCCGCTCCACACGGACGGTCAACAGTCAATGTAATTACATAATTCCAAAAATAAATATACAAGGGAAAAGTACACATAAGACACGCATCAATAAAGACAAAACACAGACATGAACTGTAAGATGCAACATGTGAAGTTTAAAACAGAAGGAAGACTTTAGGAAGACTGTTTGGATAAAAGCCGGCTTTAAAGAGAAGTGATTTAAAAGAGGATACTGATGGTGCGAGGACCAAGAAGCCTCAATCACCTTTCGTCCAAAGCCTCGACCTAGGAAGAGTCAACAGGGATCTGCCCGAGGGTCTAAGGGGGGGTCTGCAGGGGGCTCATAGGGGGTTAAAAGTTCAGTTAAGTAGCTTGGTGCCACACCTAAATTAACTTTTGACGTTTTCTTATTTTGGGAGTTATAGAAGAAATAAAATGGCTGAAGAGCTGCTTTTTTCAAAATAATCAAAAAAGCCGTGTCTTTTATCTACTACAATGTTTGCTTGGCTGAATGGGAGGTTCTCGGGTTTCTCAGCAAGGATGCTGTGGGTTTGATCTTGATTTGTAAAGGCAGCGATGATTTGGGACATTTATGCCTCATTCCTGGATCTACAGCCTCAGTCCTGGATCTACAGCCTCAGTCCTGGATCTACAGCCTCAGTTCTGGATCTACAGCCTCAGTCCTGGATCTACAACCTCAGTCCTGGATCTACAGCCTCAGTCCTGGATCTACAGCCTCAGTCCTGGATCTACAACCTCAGTCCTGGATCTACAGCCTCAGTCCTGGATCTACAGCCTCAGTCCTGGATCTACAACCTCAGTCCTGGATCTACAGCCTCAGTCCTGGATCTACAGCCTCAGTTCTGGATCTACAGCCTCAGTCCTGGATCTACAACCTCAGTCCTGGATCTACAGCCTCAGTCCTGGATCTACAGCCTCAGTCCTTGGATCTACAACCTCAGTCCAGGATCTACAGCTTCTGGCATGGATTTATGAGTGGTTCCTCTCAGATGCAGGAGGATCTAAGAACAGTTATGATCCGGGACATTTCTGCACATTTCTGGACAGTGGTCATCCAGCTCCCTATGGCCCAATGGCTACTATATGTTTGTTATTATTGCATTTCCTGAGTTCAGATTGTTTGAGTCTCTGATCTGTTCTTGGTGAATCCACAACTTTATAAAGTCCTCAAGCAATGTTGTGATTTAGGGCATTGTGATTCAAATACATTGAATTCAATCTGGTCCTTTCTGTGTTTCTGTAAAAACACAGAAACACAAAAGCTCTCTCTCTGAGGTCTTTTTGGTCTCTCTCTGGTCTCTCTCTTTGGGGGTTCTCTAGTCTTTTTTTCTCTCTGGTCACTCTCTTGTCTCTCTCTCTGGTCACTCTCTTGTCTCTCTCTCTGCTCTCTTTCTGGTCTCTCTCTCGCTCTGGGACCGGATTTCCATTAAGAAGAAATCCTGAAATATCAGACTTTTCATCTTAAATAAAGATCAAGAATATTACACTCATTTCTGGGAGATTTGGAAGCTTGATAACCTGTGATTTTTACAATGTTACCTGTATTTTAACCTCTGAATCTGTCATGAGCAGGTGTGACCTCTGCACACAGCAGCTGGACCTCAGCACTGTCTACTTTGAGCCTCAGAATTATGCAGGATCACAAATGTCCAAATCCCGACACGTGTCTCAAAGCACAATTATTCATGTATTCTGCTCTCTCGATAGCACACTCGTTATGTTATTCAGCCTCAAACAGCCCTTGAGTTGGCTGCAGTTACCACCTTCCGTCCTCTTTACATCACATCTATACAGTCCGTAAAAGCCTCAGCCTCAGATTATGTGCGTATGTTAGCGCTGGAGATGATGGACCAGCAGGGATTAACCTCTCACATACTGTATAGAACACTTTTTCTAAGCTCCTCAGTTATTTTTATGTCAGTTTTACATATTTACTGAGAGAACGAATCGTAACATCTGCACAGTTACACAAACAGGGATCTCAGGGCATGGTTGGTCTCTCTTTGGTCTCTCTCTCTGGTGACTCTCTTGTCCCTTTGGTCTCTTGCTCTGGTCTCTCTCTCTGGTCTCTCTCTAGTCTCGGTCCAGTCTCTCTCTCTCTCTGGTCTCTCTCTGGTCTCTCTCTAGTCTCGGTCCGATCTCTCTCTCTAGACTCTCTCTCTCTAGTCTCTGACAGGTGTTTACCTCTGGTCTCACTCTCTCTGATCTCTCTGGTCTCTTACTAGAGAGAGACCAGTGAGAGTGAGACCGGGGAGAGAAAGGCCAGTGAGAGTGAAACCAAAGAGAAAGGTTTTTGTTTGTCTCCATGTTGTTGGTGTAGAACAAGAAAATATTGTTGCAAAAGTACAACCAATGGTTATAAATCAGAACAAACAGTTCCCAACGAGATCTGAGACGTATAATTATCAATAATTACAGATGGTGTCGGCTGCTTTTCTGGACGTGGTGAAGCTCATCTCCTGCAGGTTCCTTTCAAATCAATGCATTATTATTATTATCATTATTATTATTACTGGCGTTTCTGTTAATGTTATGTACAATTCTATTTCAGTTGGAAAAACATGCGCAAATACAACTCTAACGAGACAGAGAGAGAGACTAGAAAGAGGCTAGAAAGACACCAGAGAAAGACCAAAACCAAAGCGAGACAAGAGAAAGAGATGTAAGAGAGAGAGAGAGCAGAGATAGCAGAGAGACCGAGGGAGAGACCAGCAACAGAGACCAAAAACCATAGAGATACCACAGAGAGAGAAACCAGAGAGTAATTAAGTGATCTTTAATTATATATGCACAATTATAAGTTTTTTTTGGGGCATATGTCCTCTCACCCCGGCTCAACATGGAAGCGTGGTTGCCTTACAGGAGGTGCATGCCAAACCTATTGTACATTAATTTAGAGGTAGGGGAAACCACAACACCCAGAGGAAACCTGCGCAGAAAGACAAGGACCAGAGAGAGAGACCCCAGGGAGAAATCAGAGAGATACCATCCAGAGACCAGAGAGAGAGATCAGAATTTAATTTGTATTGTTCCAGGAATTACAGTTACATTTTGTGTAAACTTGTTGCGTGTTATTTTGCTTTGACTACTGTCAGGATTCAAGCAGACAGAGACGGATCGTGGTGTGCCAAACTCTGGAAGTTTATTTAAGTTTCTCTCAAGTTCCACTGGTTTACTCTGTTTCTTTCTCCCAGACAGAATAAAGGCAGTACACAGTTTATATAGTCATTGTCACGTCACACATCGAAAGACATACGTGTCACAAAGAGACAGTCACATCATAGTCATAACATGGAGTCCTTGTAGAGTCCTTGTACAGTCCTGCACGTAGGCCATATTGCTATCTAATACTAATACCCTCCCCTTTGATCACATAATCACATGTGATCACTCAAATCGATCAATCAATAAAGTGGAAAAAGAAAAAAAAAAATTCTAAAAAAAAAACTTTTAAAAATTATTAAAAACAAAGAAAATGTATGCATTAAACTCATAATCATCAAATCAATATCAGTGGATTTTATCCTCTATCCTGGGAAAAAACAAACAAACAAAAATGAAGTAAATAAACAAAAAAAACAACAACAAACAAACAAAAGCAAATCAAAAATAAAAACAAACAAACACTATTGGACACACAAGAACTCAGCAGATTCAGTCAAAACACAGACAAAAACGAGCTGAGTCTCAAATTTGAAGCTAATTTCACTTTTATTACTCTATACTTTTATTCTAATGATAATTGTTTACACTACACTCAATCTTATTTCACTTTATTATTTTCACTTTTTAATCTTAGACTGTGTACTTTACTTTTACTATTCACTATAGTTTAAAACTATTCTAATCTATTTACAAATATGTTTGCATATTTGCTTCTATTGAGCCATATTCTTAAACATACATTTTAATCTAATAAATCTCTCTGTGGTATTACACTCTCATTATCAGTGGCTTATTATCAGTGGGATTTTGTTCTATCTCTATTCTACATTCTCAGGAATAAAACTGTGAACACAGTAAGACAAATGGTTAATATTAACA